CCAATTTCATGGTTCAATGAACATGGAAAATGAAATTGCGAGTGGGTCATAAGTGTATTGTGGACACATTATCTTGTTTTTAATATTTTACACCTTTTAGTACACACTCTTACTTTAATATTACGTGCTGCTTGTTAAACATATCAAACTTCAAGATTTTTGAATAGCAACATATATAATATACAATGTATACTGTATGGTATTTATCCCTGTTTAAGGTATTAAAATTTCCTTTCAACATTATCTCAAATATTTTTAATATTTCGCTTCCCACATCATAACAACATTTTGTTGGGGATTGCTATGGACTGTCAACAGCGTATAAATAGGAAGCCCGTACTACTCCTCATATACATGTAGACTTGCACATCATAAAATAGTGACTGAAAGAAAAATTAATATCACCAGATAGTAAACATAACTAAATAAAACATTTATAGTTTATTAGTGGTATTTAAAACAGAGACAAAAATACTCAAATTGGAATTCTCACAAAACAAATCAGCAATGTAGTAAAAACAAATATATATGTATTTAATATCATGATATGTATACCGAATATATTCAGCAAAAACAAAAGTGTATTATTATTTCTAGAATCCATTAAAAAAATTACCAAATTTATTTTGAAATTGCAGATGAGTATATGAAAAAGAAGAAAACATCAGGAAGGAAGATTTAAAGTTTAAGACCATTTTAATCATTATTTTTAAGACAACCTACATATTTTGATATGTCTTCAGTGAAAACATATTTTGAAGCAATATTGTAATAATACAATGTAGTTGTCAGGAAAGGAAGAATAACATGTTCTAGAATGCATTCTATTTTCACTAAATCACAAACATTGAAGAAAAATAATGCTGAAAACACAGAATCATTAGTCAGTGAGATCCTTGGCTACAAAGAAAAAAACTAGTAATACCCCAGCACTAAAGTATGGCAGGTTCATGGAACCAGTAGCAAGAAGAAAGTATAAGAGTATACTATTACAGAGGATACACCAAAATTTAAAAGTCGAGGAAACAGGGCTGTACATTGACACCAAAAAGGTCTCTTTAGGTTGAAGTCCAGATGGTATGGTAGAGTGTTCTTGTTGTGGTTCTGGTGTTTTGGAGGAGTTTAAATGTCCATTAAGTATTGCACACACCATACCATGTTATCGAAATCTAACATACTTAGTCAAAGAAGGAAGTAACATCACATTACAAAGAAATCACAACTACTATACACAGATACAAGGGCAAATGGCAATTTGCAATAAACAATGGTGTGATTTCTTCGTATTTACCAAACATGGACACCACTTTGAGAGAATTCTGTTTCAGAAAGATTATTGGGATACGGTTGTAGTAAATTTGGAAAATTTCTTAAATATGTTGTGGTGGAGCTTCTGACTTAGGATAAAAAAAGGTTGCACACACAGAAACATCAAGTGGCATCAAGAGTATTTCAGACAACATTGGCAATAAGTACATGTAAACCAATATTGGCAATAAGTACATGTAAACCAACATTGGCAATAAGTACATGTAAACCAACAAAACCATCACAATCTAAAGGGAAAAAACTCAACAAGGGACGTAAAAACGTTGAACCAAAACCTGTTTATCTGTGTGGCTCATGTCAACAAACATGTTTAGAAATTGATGAACTGGACAACAACTGTGAATCTGACTACAGAATAGGATGTGACAAGTGAAGGAGATGGTTTCATTGGGGATGTATTGGTTTTGGTGGTATGGTGAACATGGATAAGTGGTACTGTGATGACTGTGAGGCTAATAAGGAAAACAGTATATAAATTAGGTATATTTGTTATGCCCCACCTACAATAGTAGAGGCATTATGTTTTTCAGTCTGTGCGTCTGTTTGTTTCCTCTGTCCCCCATTGGCTAAATATTTTGGACAAGGTAGTTTTTATACGCCCGTCTCTTAAGACGGGACGTATTATGGTATATCGTTGTCCGTCTGTTGTCAACACGTCAGACAATAACTCAAAAAATCTTTCACCAATTTCCATGAAATTTTGGTGAATTGTTTATATCTATTGAAGTAAGCTACCTTTCATTTTTTTTAAATTTGAGATTATACATTTTGGTTGCATAGGACTTTATTCATTCAAAAAAGGGGGATTCAAATTTTTACAAACTCCTTAATATCCCATTTTTATTTTTGCAACAATTTCTATATGCACAATAAAGGGTTCTGACCCCCAATTTCATGGTTCAATGAACATGGAAAATGAAATTGCGAGTGGGTCATAAGTGTATTGTGGACACATTATCTTGTTTTTAATATTTTACACCTTTTAGTACACACTCTTACTTTAATATTACGTGCTGCTTGTTAAACATATCAAACTTGAAGATTTTTGAATAGCAACATATATAATATACAATGTATACTGTATGGTATTTATCCCTGTTTAAGGTATTAAAATTTCCTTTCAACATTATCTCAAATATTTTTAATATTTCGCTTCCCACATCATAACAACATTTTGTTGGGGATTGCTATGGACTGTCAACAGCGTATAAATAGGAAGCCCGTACTACTCCTCATATACATGTAGACTTGCACATCATAAAATAGTGACTGAAAGAAAAATTAATATCACCAGATAGTAAACATAACTAAATAAAACATTTATAGTTTATTAGTGGTATTTAAAACAGAGACAAAAATACTCAAATTGGAATTCTCACAAAACAAATCAGCAATGTAGTAAAAACAAATATATATGTATTTAATATCATGATATGTATACCGAATATATTCAGCAAAAACAAAAGTGTATTATTATTTCTAGAATCCATTAAAAAAATTACCAAATTTATTTTGAAATTGCAGATGAGTATATGAAAAAGAAGAAAACAGCAGGAAGGAAGATTTAAAGTTGAAGACCATTTTAATCATTATTTTTAAGACAACCTACATATTTTGATATGTCTTCAGTGAAAACATATTTTGAAGCAATATTGTAATAATACAATGTAGTTGTCAGGTGTATTGTCCTCTAAACCTCACCTCATCTGTTCATATTATGCATTTTTTGAAAAATATTTATTTGATAATAATTATTCATTTTCAAAGAAAAGTTGTCATATATATTCTTAATCATGGTAATCGACCATAATTATATCTTTTTAAAATTCAATATGTTTGAGTCAAGGTTTTGAAATAAACTTATTATTGAAAAGAACATAGACAACTGACAGTCGAATAGTTCTGCTAAAAAACTTTCCCTTTTCAAGCAATAGTTTAGTAATCATAAAAGTAAATAACATGAAATTTGAATTAGAAAGGAAGAGTTGATTTGAAAATTTGTTTTTCTCTTAGCCAAACATTAAAATTGTCTGTTACATGTATCTTAGGTTAACAGGTAAAAATTCCAATTAAATGTTATATGAGGTGAGGTCTGAAGACAGTTATAGTGATTGTTTACTATTTTATAACTGTTAGTATTTTAGTGAAAAAAATAAGCTAACATTAGTCTGTATAGATCTGTCATACTTATTCATTAATTTTTGGTTTTTGCCCCAAATAACAAATGAAACCAAAAACATAACCTACAACATTTTATCAGATAATATTTTCAGGGCTATAGTGATTTTGGGTTGTATTCCCCCCCCCCCCCCCCCCCCTTTACTTGAAAAACTATAAATAACACCAAACATAGTATACCCTTTTTGTTTATTTCCTTGGAGGTGGAAATTCAAAATCACATATCTTTTAAACTCCTGCATTGTAATACATTTTAGAATTTTGAATTTACAAAATCAAAAAGTTTTAAAAGATATCAAAGTGTGGCACCTTTGGTTTCAATAATTCAAACTGAACAAATATAATAATTTCTTAAATGCTTGAAGCCTATCTTCTGAAATTTGATTATCTGTATGTTTTCAACAAAATGAAGTGCAATTCACAGTCCTCACTTTAAAATGATAAACTTTTACAGCAAAAATGGCTAAATTGCCAGAAAATGTTAAGATATTAAAACAATTAAAATTTTTTTTTTAAATCAATGTTAATGAAAACAAATAGCATAGCAAATTATTATTGTTCTTGGGTACATTTAAGTATCACTTTACTAAAGGTTATTGCAAATTATATACAGCAGAACAAATTGTAAAAATCTCATTTGCCAAAGGAACCAAAGTAATAGGCAATGTGTTTTTCAAAATTTGAAAACATTTGATTCGACCAATGGCCCTTTCAACATGGATTCTAACATTGGCAACTGCCTTTGTTTTCAGTACATTTTCCTTAGTCATCTACTCTGACCCATGACCAGGTGGTGATATAATCAATTTTGCCTGTCTCATTACCAAGTCTGATTGTATGGGAAAACCTCTACCTGCCATTACCTCATCAGTTGGATCTATGAGATTTAAAACACCAATGTCCATAAAAATAAAACGATCAGAGGCCCTCCCTCCATATGCTTCTGAAATGTAGGAAATGCTGCCATTTGGTGCCATTGCCACTAAAAACTTAAGCGTGTTGTTTGTTTTATAGTCTGACCATGTTTGTGCTTGTTATTCCATATCTCGGGGTCTTTCAATGTATATTTCAGTGCAGTCAATAATACACATAAGATTAGGAGCAATTGATGTATATACATGTGGCAATGTCTCTTTCGTTATCTCTTTACCTGGCCAATGTATAAGAGGCTTCAACTCGTATGCAAGAAACTTCGACTCGTATGCAAGAAACTTTAACCATGTATTTAATACATGTGACACAAATGACAGTTGAACGCCAAAAAATATGTTATGAATTTTTGCTCAATGTTGTAATTCATAATGAAGCATGTAATTGATCACTTCTTTGTCTATGTGTCTTTACGGTTAGTTGTCTCATTTGCACATATACCACAATTTCTTATTCTTTATAACACAATCAGAGCAATGGTGTATGATTTGTTGCTAATAACCTTAATTCGTCTGTAAGGTATCGAGCTGTTTTCTATTAGTTTTTGGAGAAGTATAAAAAAATCAACAAATATAATTTAATTCAATATTCTGGTTTTAGGTATTTGACATTTTCAAAAGGTGTTTCAGTATTTGAAAAGTAAAAGTTTATCAAAACATCGGTTCATTTATTTTTCTTTATACATTCAATGTCAAATTCTGAGCACCCTCCAAAAAAATATCTGAACATTCGACTATCGAAGCCTTTACCCAAACGAAAATTCCGGCAGAATTCTGACTTAAGGAAGGCAACAACTCTTCCGGCTACTACCATTCCAACATTGGCAACGGCAAACCGTACATGCCTTCTATCTGCCATAGCATCATTGTTTAAGACATCTTCGTTAAGAACGATGGGTGCTACAGCTACCACACCTACTCCAAATAATACAGCACCTCCATATGTCTTCGTTTAAAACCAAACATCATCTGAGGTCCATCCTTCTTTTCTTTCAGCTGCAAAGATAATGCAGTTAGAAAATACATATGTTTTTTGTTGGGGGGGGGGGGGGGGGGGGGGGGGGTAAATTGATTATCTCATTACAAATAATTAAATGAGTTTCTGTTTTCTGTAAATTATATAAGTGTTCGATCGAGTTTGCTTTTACATGGAATTTTAATTAAGCGATAATATCAACATTGGTTGAAAAGTTACCGCCGTCATTTCAGTCGTACAAGGGCAACATGGAGAGGAGTTAGTAAAATAGAAAAACAAATTCAATAGTCAAAGATCATTTGACTGTGGAGATAGTATTCCGCCGATTTCCCGGATTAATTAGTTATCAAAGGTACCAGAATTATAATTTGATACGACAGACGCGCGTTAAAAAGGATCTGTGCGACAGATATATTTTAATATTATTAGTTGTTTTCTACATCTACAGTATTGCTCCTCTTGTTGGTTTTTTTTATGTTACTGTGTATCACATGTCTAATTAAGTCATAACGGCTGAATTGTTTTTTCATTACGATGATTTAATGTCTTTTATTCATTTTTTGGCCTTTTTTGTTGCTGCTCTCAACGTTTACGTTGGTTATTCTGAAGTTGAGGTTTGATAGAATTGAAAATTTACCATTTATATCAGAGACTACTTTTACAAATTAGAGTCTAAGTTGTCCCAAGCCAACATCATTTGGTCCTGGTAGAAATTTATCTCATTGACAATAATAATACATATTATTATTTTATCTCGTATATAGATTGGATTGCTTTTAACAATTTAGACAAAGAAAGTGGGATAACTAATCTATGTTTGTGGCCTAATATATTACCTTGGACAGGTGTAGCCAAAAGAACAAACAATACACAGAGTGTAATATATCTTTGTTCCATTGTTGCTTTAATATACAATGGTTTTTGTATATTCACAACTGAAAAACAACAAACACATAACTGTTTAAAAAAGATAAGAAGACACAAAACGACTTACAATCTATAAAATAGATACAAGAACACAAAAAAGACGAAAACAACTATAAACGTCTCCATCATTTGAATAAAAATCTACACCTAAAGCAATACAAAGCCTTCATAACCCAGGTTGATTTGAGGTTCCTGCTACATATGTGATAGAACGTTGCAAAATTGTATATATATCCATAACACTTTTAATCTGATAATACCCTCGGTATCGAAGTAGTTCTACTTACTGAAATAAACACTTTATAAATTCCGTGCGTTTAAAGCGTTTTTCTGGATCTACCTTTATCAAAAAATGTTCAAATCTAAACATTTGAAAGCCTGAATTGGGTAAATACGCTGAAACGTTAGCAGATATATGACAAAAGAACATAAACAGAATAGACAAATTCATCTTTAATAGGTCAACCTTATCTGAAGGACTTGCGACCTTAGTTTCTTAACATTTCTGGAATTTATGAAAGGAAATTTTAAATCAGGATATTTTCTAAATCATATCAGCACCAAATACTGAGTTGATGATACTCTAGACGCAAAATTACCCGAAAGGACAAATGGAAATAAAGAAAACAGCCAAATTCATATTACATCTTCATCTATCAAAACAATTAACATAAGTTTGAAAGTATAGATCATGATGTTTACTATTTTTACAACTTCGTTGGCCAATTAATGGCATTTATCATACCTTCTCCTTAAAGAAATAGTCTATTTATGTAATTCCGATTGATTGGGCAAAATTTAAAACATATCATACTTATATCTTTATGAAAAAAGATATAATGTATGAAGGAAAACAATTTAATGCAGTGTAAACTTACGGCTAAGTTCTAGTATCTATTTATGATGCATAATTGACAATACGTCAATCCTTCCACTAAGGTGGGACATTGGTGTAACATCACAACATAGAAAAATAAATATCAATAAAATCAGTCGGGAAAGGCTAGACTAACTAGATCGGCACTATGCATACATAAAACAGTAACAAAAAGATAAAACACCAAATGTACCACTCTTAGAACACTCCCGGCTACAAAAAGCTGGTTCAAAGCCAATTTCAACTGATAAATAGAACTTTAGGAATTAACAAAAAATAACTACCTCAACATGATTAATGTTTCACATATTAGATACTTAATTCGATTGAAAACTTAAGAAATAATAAAGTTGTGTAAAGTTGACATATATGGTATCAAATAAAATGTTAATCTGTCTGCCTATCAGTGCATATTTTTTCATGAATCGTAACATTATTTTGATACAACGATTAGGTTCATATATAACAAATTTCAGAAGTTCCTTTTACATTTATTATCTTAAAGATTTTCAAGTGTGTTAACTGATCTAAAGTTATACAATTTTAATTACCAAAATTAAGAACAAAATACAGGGTTCTAAAAACAAACAAAAACAGGCGTACAATGAGCCATCAAAGCAACGCTAGCTATTTCGGTTTATCATAAGTTTACAACAATATGTCGATGAATTTAATTTAATTGAATTTTAACTTTTTCAGATATACACATTATAAATATATTAACAAAACATGGTTAAGCTAAAACTTGATTATAATGAAATTATGATTTATGTATACCAACCATAGAAATTTCACGATTTAATCTTAAAATATTTTAAAGTTGCACTTACATGGACGAATATATTGACTCTGTGTAAGTTATTCCTTTGGATTAAACCACTGTCATAATGTGCTGATGTTAATAGTTTATATGGTTAGATGAATTTGCACCTAGCACACACATTTGTTATACCTTTAAAAATGTATATATAGTATTGGGAAAACCTTCAGTGCATGGGTTTTCGGAAATTTACAACGATAATGAAAGTTTATTTTTTCAATTCACTTTTCACATTTCACCTTATATCAGATATGTATTTATAAATGCTTGGAGTTGGAGAAAGTTTATTTGATATTTATTTTGCTTAAACAACCATTTATTAGAACATTTTCAAGTCACAAATAACTGCCCTCAATAGAAAAATAGACGTTTTGTTCTTATTTCCATAACAACAGTAAACCGTTAGTTTAAAATACTAATATAAAATGAGGAGATGTGGTATGTTTGCCAATGAGACAACTATCCACCAGAGTTAAAATGAAGTGATAGTAAGCAATTATAGACAACCGTGAGAAAACCCATTATGTATATGGATAGAACATATGATATTGATAAACTACGATAATAGACAACCGCTGGAAGGATATCTTAAATCAACTACGGACACCAGAAAATTGTACGATTTTCGTTTATGCACCTTTGTACAAAAGTATAAAGGAGTAGAGAAAAATCTTTGAATCAGTAATGCTTTGCTAAGCTTTATCAATTTGCTTTAAGCGTTCATATATTACAAAATGCAGAACTACTTTAATCTGTGTTACTTAGGTATTTAGAATTCATCAAGAAAAGTTGTTGAAACAAAGATACCAGTGATTTTTAAGAGTGTCCATTACCCTTATTCGACCTCTTTATGGTAACATGTACGTAAATAGGCAACCACTCGTATTGTTGCAAATACTTGCTTGAAACAAAACAAAAAACGTGAATATTCATCTGGATACAAAAATTATGTTAATTGAATATCCAAGAAAATAAATTTGAAAATAAATATACAGAAAGTGGTTTTTTTTTATCAAAGAAGTCCTATTATCATTGTTTTAGATCTGGATTATGAATATTTGTACCCAGAGTCAGGATTCCCATTGTCGCTTTTTCTGTGTTCGGAATTGGTGTCCGACCTTAGTTCAAAATTTGTTTCAACCATGGCGGCATTCAGTTTTTGTCCAAAAATAAAATTACTGCTCACCAAAATAGTAGAACTTGGACTGTCATCAACTATTAGTCACCGTTTACCTGGACCATAAGGTCAAAAAGAAAGGTCAAAGGTACCAAAAGGATATTCAAACTCATAAGTCAAACACTCATATTTACGCATCTTTGCAAGTTATCAAAACCATACCTTGGGTTAAAAGTGTGCCGGTAAATCAGTCACTGACAGTCCAGGTAAAGGTAACGAAATAAGAGGTAACAGTAGTTTATCAATGTTCAAACCCTAAATCCAATTAACATACACAAACCAATATCCGACAATCCAGCGAATCGCTTGAACTCCAAATTGAGCGACACTTCCAGCGTTTACATTAGAAAAGAAAGGAAATAGGGTATGCATCAATGACACAGCAAAACACACAAAAAGCAAAGGAACGGCGCTTTTATTGCAAGCTTGTCCAGCTTTCCACACATCACTCGCTATGAGAATCAAGACCGAGTCAAAATGTTACGAATCGTGACTCACGATAGGATATATGACACAAATAGTACACAACATAATTTACAGGTCAGTCGACTCTTCTGGTGTCTGAAGGAGTACAACCACGAAAACATGCCTCTCGCGAGTTAATACACAGACAAATCATATTAGTCAACCAGTTCGTTATGGTGAACGTAACACATGTGCATTGTCAATTTCAGTCGTTTTCCCCTAACCCTGCTAAAGGACGTTTTTGATTATGAAGCATATACTCTGAACATAAACGAGCGTAACGAATCAACTGACATACAATCTGACAGAAATGAAAAGTTGACAGAGGGGGGAAATTGAATTGTCACGTTCGTCTTATACCATAGTTTGAAGTCGTCAATCTGCATCAATTTTAAGGGGGGAAATATATGAAGCAGACCTTCTAGTTTCTGTAGTATCAAATACTGTCAAGTTTTCTGGGATATAAGAGATGCAAGCAAACACTGGATGAACTGCGGGTTATTGAGTGACAGTACATCACAAATTAACCTGAACGTAAAATTGAAGAACTTGAAAAGATCCTTTTTGTTTCGCCTTTTAGATTGTTTTGTACAGAAGATGTGCATATGTCCAGTTAGTACCTATTGGAATACCAACTTTTTTGTTGAAAGGCCAATTTACAAAACTCGAGAATTATGTTGTTAATCAATTCTAACGATTACACAGGGAAATTTCACTCTAAAACAATTTCACGTGAATTTTAAATCATCTGAATCTCACATGAAATTCACATGAATTTCACCTCAAACGAGGTAATACGTGAAACTCACGTGAAATCAGTTCATGAAACTCGCGTAAATAAAGTAATTCAAATAGCATCTGTTTTCAAGTTAAATCAAAATCATGAAAACTACCAATTTTGTTTTTTGTAAAGTTCACGTGAAAAATTTCACATGACATTCATGTGAATCTCAATTCATGTGAAATTCACATGAAAATTTTCACGTGAGTTTCATGTATAAAAGAGGGACGAAAGATACCAGAGGGACAGTCAAACTCATAGATCGAATACAAACTGACAACGCCATGGCCAAAAATAAAAAACCAAACAGACAAATAATAGTACAGATGACACAACATAGAAAACTAAAGACTAAGCAACACGAACCCCACCAAAAATTGGGGGTGATCTCAGGTGCTCCGGAAGGGTAAGCAGATCCTGCTCCACATGTGGCATCCGTCGTGTTGCTTATGTTATTACAAATCCGGTAAATAGTCTAATTCGGTAAGTCACATTCGTGAAAAGGGAAGGGTATTGTAGTTACGACATAATGAACATATCCGATATCATCTGTGAAACGGTTATTCCATAACTGTCAACCAACTCGTGATGGCGTCCGTAAAATTTACGAAGGGATGATTTCAACTTCACCATTTGGAACTCTTGGTTTAATAGCTTCCTTGTGAGCAGCAATCCTCTATCAAGGAAATCATGATAGGAAACACAAGCCCGGGAATATCGTATCAACTGGGAGATATATACTCCGTATGCAGGCGCTGCTGGAATGTTGCTACATAGAAATGGAAAGTTCACAATTGGGAAGCTGAAATCATCTCTTTTGTCGTAAAGTTTTGTTTTCAACCGACCCTTTGTCAATTTCTAGATGTAAGTCAAGATATGAGGCAGACTTAACTGTATCTGTAGTATCCTTTATCTCTAGTTCGATGGGATAGATTCGTTCAACATAGTCACCAAATTTTGTATTATTTAGTGAGAGAACATCATCTATATAGCGGAATGTAGAGTTAAAGGACATTGCTAACTTCTTATCTTTCTTCCTAAGAAGTTCCTGTATGAAGTCAGCCTCATAATAATAAAGAAACAAGTCGGCAAGAAGAGGGGCACAATTGGTTCCCATTGGAATTCCGACAGTCTGTTGAAAAACACGTCCTCCAAACGTAACAAATGTATTGTCAATCAAGAAATCAAGCATCTTGATAATGTCAGTTTCAGAGAATTTTTTGTTTGAATCAGAGTGATTCTTTACAAAGTAGGATTTATCCCTCCCCAAGACAAGATACTTGTATCTACGTTCGCCATTCTTTTTAATGAAACAAAGTAATACCAACTCTTTCAATTTGTCTTTTAGTTTGGAATGGGGAATACTTGTGTAAAGTGTAGAAAAGTTTAATACTATTGCAAGATGAGAGAGTCTTAGATTGTATGTACTCTAAAAGATCTTTGGAATTTTTTAGTATCCACATCTGATTGACGCCACCTCTAGAATAGGCAGTTTCACAATAACTTTGGAGCCCGGCTTTGATTGCTGATAAAATAGATGTTAATAATTTAGAAAGAGGTTTCGTGGAGCACTTGGAAGACCCAGCAATATACCGTTGTTTGTAAGGATACTTATGTAGTTTAGGTATCCAATACAGTGATGGAAGATCCAGTTCTTCATCTTTAGTTGAAATTCCAAAGGAACATAGAACAGACCTATGATTATCCAGGATTTCCTCTATCGTAAGTGTCGTGAGGGTATATGTTGAGTTTCCAACTGAATTGTCAATACCTAATTCATTTATCAAGCAGTTTATGTAATGATATTTTCACACAAAAACGATGTTGTTTGGGGCTTTATCTGCGGGGACAACAACATATTTGTCATGGAGGTAGGTCAAGTGTTTTGCAACATTTGGGTCTTTAAAAATTGATGTAGCGTGGGTAATGATATGCCCATTTAGTTTCTTAATTCGGATTTGTATCAACGACCTCACAGCCTTAATCCATTCGGAAAGAGTATCTACGTCTTCTTTCTTGCGTTTAGCCCATTGCCTGGCATAATCATCGACCGAATCCATCAGTATTTTGAAGTTGTATTTCCAATTGATGGATTTAGGCTCCCGATATTTCGGACCTTTGGATAACAAATTTCGCAGGGAAGTGTTATTGACAATGTTGAGGTCTCCGGTAATAACGTGGCCAGCCGGATTATATGTGAATTGGGAACTAGCACAGGTGCAATCAGGAGGTTTAGACTTGAAGTCGTCAATGTTGAGAGTGCAAAACGTGTTTGTAATTGAAAATTTTAGTTGCAATTGGTTTGGTATAGGTATAAGAAATTATTGGTACAGACTGATCTTTAAAATAAGGAGGTATTTTCGACTGAACTAATTTATGATGAAGGATATTGCCTAAGTTGACGACATCGAGACCTTTGTTGGCAAAGGAAAGTTTAAGAAAAGATCTTTTCTCTTTGTCATCTTTTCCAATGCGAACTGGTTTGAAAAGTCGGTGACTTGCAATATCCGAAATGATAGCTGTAAGTTTGTATTGGTTTGAATGAGGGTTTGTAACAGTGGTTTCCAAATATAAATTGAACAGAGAATGAAGTTTTGAAAGGGGTAATGAATACAGTTTCGTGCGAATGTGATGAATACCTAATGGCTTTTGTATAAATGGCAGCAAGTCATTAATAGAGACATCATGCAAAGTAGGTGATGTATAATGACGATGACCATGACTGCGTCTACGTCGAGGAGTAGAGTTGAAAATATTCATCACATTGAATTTCACCGAGCTACAGGAAGGACTAGATAGAATACCTATACCATCAATTTTGTCATTGCAACCATATGGTGTTGCAGTTCCCAATTGTCGAATCCAGTAGTCCTCTTTTTGCCTACGGAGAGGCGTTGCAAGTTGAGGATTGTTAGTCTTGTGGTATATTTTTTCGATTATACGAACTGTCATAGAAACGATGGAATGATCAGGCTTTTTTGAGATGAATCTCACGTGAAATTTTTCATGCGAGATTCATTTGAAATTCATGTGAGCAAATTTTGCCTGTGTATATGGTCAGTGTTGTTTGAATTGCTGTAGTTTTCTACAAATTTAGCCCTGTGATATTAGAAGAGGCAGTCGATCTTTCAAATGACCTGTTCAAATTAAGCATGAGGAATAATAGTAAGAGATGGAAGAAATCACTTTCTTTGATATAATTGAAATTGTGACTTAAGATTTCATAACATATCTGTAGACTGTTTAAAAATCCGCTGATTGACACCGATTGTTTAATATACATCATCAAAAATAATTTGGAAAACGGTTGAAATCAGTTACAATTGTGAACATTTATTCTAGGACAGCAAATTAGTAGTAGTGGAACGGACAGTACTTTTTGGGAGTTCAAATTAAAAGATGAAGATCGGCTTTCGAAGTGGCCACTTAGTCATATCCGATTTTTAACCTGGTATCCTGGCTCACTGTTGGACCTTACAGGAAGCAAAAAGTGGACACGGATCCCAGTTTACTGCGATCTGACATTGGAGTTATCTTTCGTTTCATGTAAAACATTTTTAGCTATGAAAGGAAATCTCTGATATTCAACCACTGGGTCGGTGGCATTGCTTGGGTTCCCTGGAGTATCATCAGCACAGTAGCAAGGACTTCTGTGTTGACATGAAATATACCATTGATATTGTCAGTTTTATAAACTCACTGTTTACTAACTGTTGAATTTTTCATGTTATTCGAATCTCAACGGGTTTTCTACCAACAGGCATGTATAAGCAACTTAGCGATTGCGTTGACAGTTTCTCTTGACTTGTGTGTTTTGAAAGCTCCTTTGGTATGTTCTGCCTCTCTTTTAGCCGTATTCAGCAAACTGTTTCGGAATTTTGGGTTCTAACTTGACCCGAGATATTCGAGACTTGATCTATTGAGTTTATACTGTGGGGTCAACGTCTATGGTTTACCTTTATGGTGTAAAATTATTGATTGATCTTTGCTAAACGTCCAGTGGCAAATACTGCATGTACATTCAGGACGAGAATTTTATCAAAAAATTTCAATAAGTAGGTTCTGCAAAGTGTGTAGATTGGGATGTAGGGCGGGAAATAACGACATCAACTTGAAAAAAATTATAAATTAAAGTTCGTAGATTTTTCATTTTCAAAGGCCAACTTCCACCAGAATTCAACCACGAATTTAATGAAAAAAAGGATAAACTGAGTTCATGTAGATTTTTCATTTGCACATGCCCACTTCCATCCAAATTTAATCATAGATTTGTTCAAACATTTTGAATTCAAAAGCTCTACTAAATTTCTGTATGTAACGTTGGATCTTTTCCTACAATGAAAGACAAAAAAAATATAAAATCTTTCACCGTGGACGATTAGAAATGACAAAATCCACGTGAGCTGTGATGCATGTGGGGTATGGGCAGAAATCTTGCCTAACAACACATACTGTCCCCTCGTATAAGCTGTTTTGTGGGTTCTTTATCGTGTGAAGTTTTGCGCCTCCCCTTTATGAGACATAGGATTTAACGTCCCCATCCTGATCGGATGTGGCACCGTATTAGTCATGTTAATGCATACCGCACAGCCAAACGGACGCTCCTGTTAAACTGATGGGTGGGAAAAGTCCTATACACCAGTAATTTTCCAGTCAACTATTTGGGGTAAGGGAAAGTATGATTAGCGTATTTGCAAGCATTAGTTTGCATTTAAATTGCCATCTGACCTATCAGCATCCTTCAATCTATTGGTGAAACAGATATAAGATAAAAACATTGCAAGAGTTGATATTTTATTCATTACACAAAAAATATTAAAACATTCAAGTTTGATAACACAAATATACATAAAAACACAAACTTGGTTATTTCAGCTTGATTTACTACAGACTAAAACACCTACTGATGGATTGTACTTTCAAAGCTATTAAGTAACGTCACATTGTAGATGCAAATCAGAAAACAAGAGCAAAATCCACATTGCTTAATTTCCTGAAAGGATTGTTTTTTGTGAACTTACTTTATCATAATTTTGCTTTGAAAAAAAAAACTACTTTGCCATTACAAACATTTTGGGATTGATATTATCTCTTTTTATCTATAATCAGGAATAAATCCAACTTTTTTATGCAGCTGTTTTATTGTTATGTCACAAAACCACGTACTCGAGCCCTCGGGGTAAAAGTATGCACTTATAAATAATGATAATGATGTAGGATTTTCTTATTTGCGTCTATATACTGAACAACAAACGAAAAGCTCGTTTACTCGATATAAGTAAATAAAGAAAAAAATGTTTAAGAATCAGTTGATTGATTGTTTGTGTTTTCCGACACTTTTAGCACTATTGGCTAAATCGTGGAGGTCAGTTTTAATTGGTGGAGGAAGCCAGATTGCCCTGAGACAACCACCGACCCTCGGCAGGAAAACTGGAGATCATAGTCAATTGAGATCAGAGTTGAACGCACCTTTCACGTGCGGGGTTCGAACTCACAACCTCAATGAATCAGATGAATGACATATAATTTTATGAAACTTTTAAGTAGTACAAATACTTTCAAAGACATGATTATCTTAGCTTTCCCACTATGAGCATTTAAAACTCACTAAACAACTGTTCTAATATTACCTTGAAAAAGAGTATTGTAAGCATGAATACAATATACAATTATATTGATCTTCAATTACACTACAGCTTAGGTGGATTTTGATATGTTTGCTTTTCCTCGGTGGAAGGGGCCACAGGGTGACCAAAATTAATGTACGAAATCTGTCATCGCATGCCATTCCCTTTCCTTTATCATAAGAATTGTAAATATGTAAGGTTGAATTTAAGATGGCAGAAATAACCCACCCAGAGAGGACAGGCGGAAATGACATAATCCACATAAGCTCCAGTGTAGGTAATAAACTTTAAAATGTGATGCAATAATACTAATAAAATATAACAATGAAAAAAATGCTAGGTTAAACATATACCCACATAATATGAAACAGTGCCCTCAAATATTGAAAAACTTAATGATACCCTGAAAAGTTTCTAAATGTACCCTGGAAAATATTTTATACTAAAAGTATGGGCCTTCATATGGGCATTTGTTATAGTATTGCTAAAATTACCAGTATATTTTTGTATCTATTGACATCAAAATTTGGAAGAAAAGATATGTGATCTACGTCAATGAGATGGCACCCCAATGACACAAGAGGTCCACATACAGTATTTAACATAACAGAAATTTTTATACAATATCCTTAATTCAACAGTCTAGAAAAAAATACACAATAGATTTAACAGAAAATAACACAGATTTTCAATCAATGCCATTACGGTATACCCATGCAATATTAATTAACTACTAAGCTTGTTCAAATAAAACATCAATAGATTGATTGGTTGATTGAAGTTTGTAAAACTACGTTAACAACGATGGATGACATTTTAGCTAATTGATACGACATTTTAGCGAAAAAATCCACTCAGACAGCATATTTCTTGGTGAGGGAAAGAATATACAAATTAAAACAAAGGATACTTTTACAACAATGTACAAAGATGAAACAAAATTACAATAAATGATAAAATATGTATAAGTCATGCCTGCTTTAATTTTTCTTTGTAAAATAAAATGAATTATTGAAAAACTTGCTTGAAAATAGTAGGTCAATTATAAATTAACTCATATTCTTATAATATCAAATGCCTCTTTGAACAAAATATAAGTAATGTATAATAATGCTTTTACTCATATTCTTATTATATATTTATGCTCTGTATAAGTCTCCTTTCTTAGGAGCACCACCAATTTTTATGGTGTAAATGAAATCATTTAGCACACTGTATCGGCACTGACTAAGAAACTAAATATATATCTAAAACAGGGGTTTCTGTTATGAAGCAAGAAAGTTAAATGGATGCTGCTTTTAACTTCTCTACCTCTGCATTTGTTTGAATCCTTTCAAATTGTAAGATTTAATTGCTAAAATGTTTAAAATGACAATGCATGATGATTTCAATTATATTCTACAGTAAAAAATTATGTAAAAATACAATATTTAGCACTTGTTTCAAATATGGCACTTCTTAATAATTACAAGTGTAGCAGATATATTTGTAGGTTCAAATTTTTCTATAAAAGGTGTATATAAATACAGGTAAGAAAATTTTATAAATATAACTTTAAAAAATTTGCAGATATTTATAAATATTGTCATTTTTAAAAAGTCTTTAAAACTTTAACATTAACATCACAGATTCATGTATGTAGTTTGAAATGTTATATCTCCTAATACATGTCCTTGAAATATAATTTTATAGCTTTTGCCCAATTTCGAGTAAAAATCTCAAATCTGTATTGAAAAGACATCATCAAGCATAAACAATTTTTTTTATCAAACTTTGTTCGACTTATTTTTCTTTCCTCTTACACTAAATTTGAAGATTTTGGTGTCTGATACCCTTTCATTCCAAATTTTTACAATCACATGTGAAAAATCTGGCAATCCTAAACTACTAAGATAGGAGTCACACACACATTGCAACAATCGGTGAAATACCTCGATTAATCATACACTGAGGCTCCGGTAGTACAAATACAGTAGTAAGGTGTAAACAAGATGCTCAGTAAACCTGTTTATTTTCTTGGAGCTTAAATTGCTGCATTTATATGTTCAAACGTCTTATTTTAGCGCTTTTCTTCTCCCTGATTCTAATATACATTGAAAACCAATTTAGGCAATGGGATATTTTTGGTGATTTTATCTTAAAATCAAATTCAGCAAAAATAAAAACACACGATAATTTTACATGGGATTAGAGTCTAGGCTTTGCTAATCTGAAGTTTTGCACGGATAACCCTTCTGTAAGACCTTTTTACAGTGTCCAAGATGCCCATGACAAATATTGTTTAAAGTATTTTAGTCAATTCAAATAAACACAAAATTCAATTCAACTAACTAGTGTTCAAGATGCCCTTGGAAAGTATTGTTTAATGTTTTATGTCCAATTCAAATAAACACAAAATTCAATTCAACTAACTAATGCTCAAGATGCCATTCGCAAGTATTGTTTAAGGTATTTTCACCCATTCAAATAAACACAAAATTCAATTCAACTAACTAGTGTTTAAGGGCATACGATACAGTTTTGATCCCAGAGTGAATTTTTGGAGAAAGTTTGCATACAAGCTTTTTTCACCTAGGCAATTCAAAAATGTAATAAAAAATATACCTTCATGTGGTATTTTTAGAGATAAATGAGATCGAAATTTTAGACATTTACTGGACATTTCGGTTTCTTGGACATTTGTCTGTCCTTATAAAAGTCATACCTAACTTTTTGTTTCAAAAGATAAACGCAAGAGGATTTTTGTAAAAACATCTGGAATATCTTCTCTACAAAAGTATGTTTTGAATTTGTGTAACAATTCTTTAGAAATAAGTCATTTTATCTCATTTTCATGATTTTAGTCAAAACACGGCATTTTTGGCTGTATATTTATCTAATTTTAAAAAAAATCATCGGTGAAATGTTCATAAAAATTGGCACACATAATCTTCATACATAATCAAGCCAAGAGTCATAAAAAGAGGGGTCCATGAACTCGTTTTTCAGTTATATCAGTTTCAATAATAAAAATCAGTCGAAAAATGCATCTTTTCTCGATATGGAACAGTTTGACGTCGCGAAAAATAATATTTTACGTTAGCAACGTCATTACCTCCCCTGTATCTGTATTGTATGCCCTTAAGATGTTCATTGCAAATAACGTTTAAAGTATTTTGTTCAATTCAAATAAACTCAAATTTTAATTCAAGTTACTAAAGTATGTTTTGTTCATTGTTCAACAGTACAGTAAAACATTATGTTCATATGACCATCTAGTGTTTAAGATGCCCTTTGTAAGTAATGTTTCAAGCGTTTTGTTCAATTCAAATAAAAATAAAATTCAAATCAACTTATTTAAGATTATGTTCATTTGTTCAACTAAGAACAGTATAGATTCTCTGTAAAACATTATGTTCATATGGCTTTCTAAACACACAGTTATACTCCATTTAAAGCGTTATGTTCATGTGTCTAACTGAACACACAATATATTCTCACTACTATCACAGACTTCTTTAAGTATCTTCGTCAACTTTGACTTTGATTTTGTTCAGTTTGAGACTGATGATGTTCAATAACAGTAAATGATAGATTCGATTGACCCAATGACCGTGCTGAACCGTATGACTCTCCGGCATTTTGCGCTACATTTGTTATCACAGTCTGCGAGATACTTAAAGGTCCAGACAGCTGCAATGTTTGTGAAGCTGATAATCCCGCCAAATTTAGAAAACTTTGAGATTCAACGTATGATGTCATGCCACTTTCGTTTGTAATGATGACCACATTACATGGACAGGACTGAGTGTCCGTAGAATCACCGGATTCTGTCCGTCTTCGACTTCTAAGTAAGGCTTCTACGTCTTCCTCAGTGGGTCGTCTCCCTTCTTCGGGGGGACCTGATAAGTCATATAATCGTCTGCTACGGCGATTTCTACGCCTTCTAGTGTCAGTTTGACTGCGAGGCAACTGACTTGGCATTCGACACATTCGTTTAAGTTGTTCTGCAAAGCAGCATACAACAAAAAGTAAAATAAAACATACACAAAACGGTATCATAAGTATTAGTCCAAGAGATTCCATTGCCATTTCCGGTTCACTTCACAAGTTCTGAAAAATAAGAAAAAACAAATCGAAACGAACTCAACATTTAAAATAACCTAAAACTAAATCAAGAGATTAACTTGTTTGATTTACTGGGAGTCAAGTTTCATTTAACTCGGAAAATAATTAATAAGACCTTATTTTTACACACTTTATCTAAATAAATGTACCATTTGCAGAAAATACTTATCGGCTCTCTGATAACTACTCTAGATCTAAATGTGGTATTATTAGTATATGCGTGTATATTTGACTTATAGATACCTCTACAAGGGGTTTCGAAAAATGTTAATAGCGCGTATAATAGAGAATTAAAGGATACTGGATATACGCTTTTTTTTATTAAGGGATATTTGCACTTTTGTGACTCACCGTACGACAATCAACTCTGAGCAAAACCCGTATTATAAATGAGCAAACACAACATGATAAACGATAAAGTGAGAAACCCAACGGCTTATTTGTTCTAAAACAATTAACGAAAAACAAATATGACAAAAAGCAACCAAAGAAGTCTACCATATTCAGTTTTGTCGCATCAACTTATCAAAATGTTAATCGATGATGTGAACTTTAAAAAATATATCAAAATACGGTTTTGTCCAAGATTTTAATTAGTTTAGTTTAAACAATGTTTTTTATCCAAAATACTAGTAGATTAAAGTAGATTGTGCAACAGGTTTAGCATACGCAAGTCCTCTCCGAGAGTGACATAACAACGCACACACACACAATGACAACACAAAAAACATATTTCAATATCAACACTACCTTACTGCTGACTGCAAGAATGTTAAAATAATTGAATACAAGTGTATTGTACAATATTGCTCAACGTTCAGTAGCATATATGTACATACTGATTAAGAAAACACAAATAAATTAAGTGATATGAATGTACACTGCTGTCATTTTTTTCCACATGGAAGTCTTCAAGGTAAGAGTGTTCGGAAACACATGTCACTCTATCTTACCGTTCGGCTTACTGTGAGTAGGTCAGTTTTTACTGTTGCTCCTAATTGCCGGGCGCTTTATCAAGCAAAAACTTGGGATTGAAAGTGTATAACAAAAACAATAACGAAAAGGGACTAAATTTCCTTTAGTCTATAACAATCAATCAATTCGAAGTTATGCCTTTTGATTAATTATGAAATAAATGTGGATAGTGTCCACATGTGGACACAGATGATGCCCCCGCTTGCATGTCATATAGTTATAAAGGGACATAACTGAAGAACGGTAAAAGTGACGCTACCCAAATTTGATATTGATCTTGATCTGAGTTTTGTGGTAATAAGCATTGTGTGTAAGTCTCATAACATTTGGTTGAGGCTAACTTAAGTAGAGAACAGAAACTAAAAATTCAGCAATTTTTCTATTTGTAAACACGCATAACTCTAGAACGGTTGTCTATAAGTTTTATAACATTTGGTTGAGACAAACTAAAGTTAGAGAATGGAAACGAAAAATTCAGCAATTTTTATGTTTATAAAGGGACATCACTCAAGAATGGTAAAAGTGTCGCCACCAAATTTCGTACTTAATCTGTATTATGAAATAATAAGCATTGTGTATAAGTTTCATAACATTTGGTTGAGGCAAACTAAAGTTAGAAAACGGAAACAAAAAATTTGTACTTGATCTTAGTTATGTGGTAATGAATATTGTGTATAGGTTTCATAATGTTTGGTTGGGGCAAACTTAAGTTACAGAATGGAAACTAAAAATTTTGCAATCTTTCGATTTATAAAGGGGCATAACTCAATAATGGTTAAAGTGACACTACCCATATTCAATTTGATCTGTGTTTTATCAGTGGAAGTCAAAATTAAACATTGCATTGTATAAAGCATTGATTGTAGTTGATTCAACTATAATCATGGTCAAAGGAAGATAACTCCAATTTTAAAAATTACTTGATATTTAGAAGAAAATAAAAATTTTGCAATTTTTCCATTTATAAAGGGACATAACTCTAGAATGGTTAAAGTGACGCCACCAAAATTCAAACTTGATCTGTGTTTTGTGGTAATAAGCATTGTTTATAAGTTTCATAACATTTGGTTGAGGCAAACTCAAGTTAGAGAACGGAAACCAATTTTGGGACGTACGTACGTACGTACGTACGGACAAGGGTAAAACTTAATGCCCCCACCGCTACGGCGGGGGCATAAAAATCCGCATTGTTCTGTATGATTATCTGTAACGCTTTAAATAGCTTCTGAAAGGGCCTTCAAAATATCGGGATACTGGTCTTTAAACATTTTTTTCTTGGACAAAACCGTAATTTGATATTTTTTTTCAAAGTTCACATCATCGATTAACATATAAGTAAGTCGATGTGACAAAACTACTTTAGTTGCTTATTGTCATATTTGTTATTCATTAAATTCAGCTGATTCGATTCGTTTAAAGAAAAACAACATCTTTTGAATACAAATAATACGAATAAAAAATAATGGTTTTGAAATACAGTTCAAGAGATCTGTGCTGTTAAAGTCAGTGAAAAATGTGGACGAATTGGGTGGTTTCTCATCAATTAATTAATTCCCCGTTTTTTGAGAAATAAATATTTTTTTTTTTTTCAGTTCTGCTTCTTGTTTTATTTTTTATTTTAACATTTAATTAAATGTTTTGTTCGTTTCGTTTCTTTCCTTCATATTTCATTTCGTTATGGAATATTTTGCTTTGTTTCGTCATATTTCGTTTCGTTTAGTTTAATTCTGTTACGTTCCGTTCCGTTTTTATTTCGATTCGCACTTTACAGGTACCCATAAAATCAGACGGTTTAAGAATGAAAAATAAAACTAGGACGATTTACGGACTTATAGAACATTTGCACAACCTACAGATGTGTACGTTTAAAGGATGATAAACTTGATGGCGAAAACATACATTCAATTGATGTAGTCAGAATTAAAATAGGCATCGGATAAAGTGATACCATGATATCATGAATGTCACGAAAGAAAGATTTTCAAGGGTTGAGCTTATAAAATAATTCTAACCGTTGAAAAATATTCATAATATAAATTTTAAACCTCAGACGTTACCTAACAATGCCGTTTGCAATAATATTAGATACATCATACGTGTGTGTACAAAAAAGTATTATTTTAATTTTATAACAAAAAATAAAACTTTATTCAAGTATTTCAACTTAAAAGTTTACAAAAGTATCTCATTATAAGAGAAAATAAGAATGGTGCTGGAAATCCAAGGGCTGTGCTAACATTTAAAGCTGGAGGAGCGCCACCCGTTAACAACCTGTGGTGACCTTTGTATCTTCATTGACACGTCGAATCAGTAATGCGTACGTTTTACGCATGTTTTATAAATGTTTACCATCCATAAAAGAGGGTCTGGTTATATTAGGGTGTCCTTCATTTCTATATTCTTTAATTTTTTATGTCATTTTTCTCTAGACTCTTTATATTTTGCTCTCATTACTCTCTATTCTTCATCATGTTCATATGTTAGCACCCATGCATTATTCTGGCTAATTTTTCTGCAGTATTAGCCCATTATTCTCTATTCTGTCAACCCCATCCAGACCCTCATAAAACATCCGTATAATAACGTACCTTTTACTACGTACGTTGCTATATTACCTATGTACCAATTAAAAGAAAAACAAACATTATATTGCTTTTCTGGTGATTACTAACTCAGTGTTCCATAAATTTTTAATATATAACTAAAACTAGTTACTAATTAAACTAAAATGGGGTCCAGCAGCAGATCCAGCCATTTTTAAAAGGAGGTTTCCAACCCAGGATAAAGGGGGGTTCCAACCATATTTCCCCATTCAAAAGCATTGATCGTCAAAAGAAAAGGGGGGTTACATCCCCTGGACCCCGCCCCCTTTTGATCCACCACTGGCTAGTCTGTCCTTTCAATGAACATAACTAAAATAAAATGCTCCGCAGGGCGCAGCTTGATACGACCGCAGAGGTCGAACCCTGAACAGTTGGGGCAAGTATGGACACAACATTCAAGCTTGATACAGCTCTGAATTTGGATTGTGATTAAATATTTGACACAGCATAGGTTTCTGACACAGAATGAATGTGGTCTAAGAACTTAAAAATTTTAAATTGGACATTCACCTATTATGGTCCAATATCCAAAATCTAAATACATGGTTAGATTCAGCATATCAAAGAACCCCAAGAATTCAATTTTTGATGAAATCAAACAAAGTTTAATTTTGGACCCTTTTGACCTCAATGTGGACAAAGTTGATAACGGGGCCCAAAAATCTAAATACATGGTTAGATTCAGCATATCAAATAACCCCATATATTCAATTTTTGTTGAAATCAAACAAAGTTTAATTTTGGACCCGATTTGGACCAACTTGAAAACTGGGCCCATAATCAAAAATCTAAATACATGTTTAGATTCAGCATATCAAAGAACACTAAAAATTCAATTTTTGTTAAAATCAAACTAAGTTTAATTTTGGACCCTTTGGACCTTAATGTAGACCAATTTGAAAACGGAACCAAAAATTAAGAATCTAAATACACGGTTAGATTCGGCATATCAAAGAACCCCAATAATTCAATTTTTGATGAAATCAAACAAAGTTAAATTTTGGACCCTTTGGACCTCAATGTGGACCAATTTAAAAACGGGGCCCAAAATCCAAAAACTTAATACACGGTTATATTCAGCATATTAAAGAACCCCAAGAATTCAAGAATAAAACCCCATTGAAATTGATCAAGAAATAAGCAATTTATAAGAAGTATCTTCTTTTGCACAATACTGTGCAATTGAATATTTCTTGCTATTACGCAATACTGTACAATTGACAATTTCTTGCTATTGCGCAATATTGTGCTATTGGATATTTCTTGCTATTGCGCAATACTGTGCAATTGAAGATTTCTTGCTATTGCGCAATACTGTGCAATTGAAGATTTCTTGCTATTGTGCAATACTGTGCAATTGAAAATTTCTTGCTATTGCACAATACTTATTATATAAAAATTTACACA